TCATTTTGAAAAGATAATCCACTTTTGGGTTTGTTCATATTTTAACTACATTTATATAATAGTTTTAGTTGTATAATAAATTTATTGTTTTTATATTATAATAATGTACTATTAAATACAACAAAAATTATTATAATCGGAGAAGAAATCAATTATGTTTTACTCTTGTAACATTTAAAGAGTCTACATAGCGCCGATGAGTCATCTTTTATAACCCACATTTTTGCACCTGGTATTACCAGGTTTTATCCAAACCAAAGTCAAATAGCGGTACTGTGCTATTCAAATGGCAAGAATTTGTTTTGAAAATCGAATGGAGAGACAATCTGACTCTCTAAGTTCAGAGCGTTTTCTTCAAAGCCTTTGAAAACGCAGAGTTGGGACTTGCTGGAACGGCAAAGATGCGAGGTGACAAGGCTCGACTTATTCTTCCTGGGAGATTGCCTTTAGGGTTTACCAGACCCTATCCAGCCACCGGGCCAACTTCCGGTGGGAAATCTCGCTTATCGGAGGCATCAATAGCTACTTTTGACAACTCACACTTTGTGGTGTCTCCCTTGTGTAGGGTCGATCTCCAACAAAAATTATTATAATCAATAATACAAAAGAATAATTTTGTTTAATATGTTTAGTTATAGTATGTTTAATTTTATTATGTTGTTTTAATAAACAAATCTAATTAAATAAACGATATTTATACTATATCTTTTTACTATATATTTATAATTGTTTAACTATATATTTTTCTAATGTTCTAAATAGAGACCGAGGATGAGGGGAGTTTTAAATTCATTTTGCAAAAAAATATTTCAGTGCAAAAAGCAATACTTGCCGAATAATGCTCTTCAACCATACTCCGTAGCTTTTTCCTTTTTTACTCACAAAATTTTTGTCTCATTTTTGTTTTTCTGGATTTTTTTTGATTATCGAGTGCACCTTTAATCAACAAAATACACTTTTATTTTTGGAAAAATACTTTTACCAAACTTTTTTTGAATTGTGCAAAAAATACAGATTTAAAAATAAATCATATACATTTTATATTTAGAACTATTTTTTCAATTCCCGATCATTTAAGTCTTCATAGTGTATTATTTAACTATAAAAAATGAAAAGTTATCCAAAATGAACAAAATAACACTGCGATTATTAATTGTTTTAAACAACAGGCATAAACGCCTTTTGGTCAAAAAGACAAAAAATACATTAAAATATTACAACTAAAAAACCCGGTTCTTAACAGAAATAATACACTATTGTCTAAAAAATAAAACCAAAACGGCAAAAAATACTACTATAACAGATATTTATGTTGTGTAGTAACGGGAAATATTATTAGATAAAACTTGAATATATACAAAACATCAATCTTAAAAATAATAAAATTATCTGTCAAATCGAAATTTTGACGTTTTCTTTCTTTTCAGTGTATTATTAATAATAATAATATAAAGTATAATTTAATTTTTTCAAAATAATAATTAAATATATAATAAATAATAGTACAACAATATCTAAAAATAAAAAAGAATATTAATAACACATATATCCAAATAAAATAACTATATAAAAATTAATAACAACTATTAATAAATAGTTAAATGAATCTACAAAAAATCACATTCAAAAAAAACTATTAATTTATATATTTTTTAATCATTAAATATAATTATAAAAACTTATAGAGAAATATTGATTGGTTTAATTAACGAAAATGTTATAAATATAATATATTTAATTATAATAATTTAATTTATTATAATATAAAAAATAAAAAATGTGTTAATTAAAAAAAGATAATAATAAAACTAATTATTTATTGGTACATATTTTGAATCTTATATTGGTATTATTTTAATTTAATGTGTTATTATTTTTAATACATTTTTATACTACTATTATTATATATGTGTTATTAAGTTTTAATTCAAATTATTGTTTATCACATTTAAATGGTATTATTTATAATTTAGAAATTAAGTTTATTATTATATTGAAATTTATATTGAAAATTGATTTAAACCAAACCCACCTTAAGAACAATTCAATTACAAACACTGATTATTTTATTCTTTTCAATTTAATTACTACTATAATTGAAAAATATGGGGTTTTATTTTGTTTAGCTAAGGACAATAAAACGGTGATTTACGTATCAATAATATACTTAATGAGCTTATAAACGTTGAATTTGAAATACATGTATATTCTTAGTAAAGGAGAGTAAAATTTTCAAGTACCAAAGTAAATAACAAAAAGAAATGATTATATTAAAAGCATTTTTGTAAGTCATCATTGTGGTAATGATGTTATACTATTTGAATACCAACATTTGTATGATTCTAACGATTTAATTATGTGTTTATTGACTA